TTTTTCTCCTTTCTTTACTTTTCTTTAAAGTGTACTCTGTCTCAATTTTTAAACACCATCGTCACTCTCTAAGTCATTGCAGTTGAAGTTCTACCTCAATCTCTTTACTGAAACAGTTTTCTTGTAATGCTCACTAATCAGCAGATCCAGTGGTATTTTTACAGCATTTCTTTTCTTTCAGTTTTTAACACTTTCATAACAATCTCCTTGAAAAGGATCTTCCTCTACTTCCATGGTTTGAGATTACTTAAGTTCTACTTTTCTGGTCGTTTTTCTGGATTTTGCTGGTCAGCTCTTCTTCCTGTCCTTTGAAGGTAGAGAAGGCCAATGGCCTAGTGTTCATTCCTCAGCCCTCTCCTCTATACCAAGAAATCATCCTCCCCCGGAATCATTTCTCCCCTGGAAATAATCCTCTCTCATTGCTTCAGCTGCCACAAACATCAAGTTTTCCCAAGTTTCTCTCTAATTATGGCCTTTCTCATTAGCTTTAGTGTCATATCACCACTGATATGTCTCCTCGTCATCTAAAAATCACTGTTTCTAAAACCAAGCCACTCCACTCATTGCTGCCACATTAAACTTGGTAATAATTCAACACTATATGCAACATTACTCTTTGGCTCGGAACCCCTGAGTGGTTTCCCACAGTTCAGTGGAAAGTCCACACTCCTAACCCTGTTGTTCAAGGTCTTTTACAATGTGAGAACTGCTCACTTGCCTAATATTACAGACTAGCAACCTCTTTACAAAAGCCACCCCAGTCTCAATTCCTCCTCAGGCTTTCCAAATCAACCCAGTGCATTTCCACACCCCATGTGGCTTTGCATACACCATTTCCTCTTCCTTCTAGCTTTTCTTAAAGCTCAGTCTCCCTGTTCATAACGTCTATGAAAATATCCATGGCTGTCCCATATTTAGGGAGCATGCCCTTCTCTCTGAAAAATACTTGGTAGAGAAGCAAAAATCTGATACTTAATGTGAACAAAGACATTTTACAAAGACATTTGATGCAGCATAGTATAAAAAAAGCAAAAGGCAAGAATCAACTAAAATTTCCAGGTTAAATAAATTGTTATATCCATTCATTCAATGGAATATTTGGTAGCCATTAAAAAGAATAGGTAAACTTATAGACTGATGTTAAAAATGGTCTCCTAGAGAGACCTCTTAACCACTTCTTGTTTGGCATTTCTCAATTCAAATTTATTTTTGTTCAAATTTTTAATATGCCTCAGTTTACCTTTTAACAGTTCTGGTGTCAGAAGAGGGAACCAAAGGAGACCCCCCCCCCCAACAGCCCACAGGAGCAATGAGCAACCCGGCATAGGTATCTGTTGAGACCTTGAGCTTGCTGCTTTCTTGCTGCCTCTGGAGGTCATGGGTAAGTCCCTCTCAAATCCTAGCACTGAAGGTTTTGTATTATGAGCTTGCAGACTTTATCTGAGCCTTTCTTTTTCATGCTGGGTCCAGAAACCGGCTGGAGTGGGAATGAGTCAGACTTGAAAACCAGACTGGGCTCAGGAATGGACTGGTTCCAATTTAGAAACCAGACTGGATCCAGGGTCAGACTGGGTCTGACTTAAAACTGGACTGAGTCTAGTGTGAGGTCTCAGGTGAACAGAATTTTTTTTTTTTTTTAAGGAACGAGTAGGTTAACTATACCAAAGATAATCTTGAATTACATTGGCCACAGTGGAGAACTTTAAACCATCTTAGATAAGCCTATCCATTTATGAGTTATCCTAGAGGAAAATGTATTTCAGCCAGGCACTCACTATTAAGGGTAGAGGGAAAATTACTTTTCCTCCTTTACAGTTACTGGTGACCAGGATGAGACCCACTGGAATGCCTCCCTCACTCTGGAGCCTGCAGACATCACCCTGGGAAAACTGGCAGAAGCCGGCAAAGAGTAAGAATTTTTACTAACGTCAGCTCCCCCAGACCTCTCTACCTGTGGTGGCTGGTTGAGAGAAGAAGGTAAAATTTCACACTGCCGCTTCCTTTCCAAATTACCAAAAAAAAAAAAGGTTATTGATCCTTTCTCTCCCGGGGACAGCTATTGCCTTCCTGTCCATCTGTCTCATGGCCAAAATTTTAAAACTAAAGCTATAAGATCTCTGCATCTGTCTGTATGTTTATGTATATCTCTGTTAGTATGTTGTAGATGTGTGGTATTTTTCTACCTTTGGATGGTATTGCCAAAATTAATGTGTAAAGAGCTCTATTAATTGGCTTAAAGACAATCAAGCATTTACATAAATCAAGTATACTCTCAGAAATCCAGAAACTAACCAAAAATTTTTTCAAGTTCATTTGATCTAGGATAACCTTCAGTAAATAAAAGGTGGTTTAAGTTTGTTGGTTTAATCAAAATAGGTATGTCTTTAGAGTTATTAGCATTAAATATAATACTTTTATCCTACCTAGGTTTACTAAAAGTCAAATAAACTCAAGTTATAGAATTTGTCAGAAAGAAAAATAACTTAAAATGATGGTTATCTGTTTAATGTCTCATGAAATTTTCATGAATATTCTAAACATAATTGTTAAGAACAAATAAATTAAATAGATGTAAATAAAAGTTTACTTTTTTAAAAAGTAAAAAGTTTATAAATTAATTTTTCAACATTATGCTTTATGGTATGTCTACTTAAAAATAGTTTCTAAAATCTTGTTGGTAACTTGAAACCTTAAAGTTATGCTGAGATAAGTTAAATGATGGATATTCATTGAATATCTAGATCATTTCCAAATAAGATACAATATTGAAACATTAATTACTGAACATAGCTTTATCTACTTTTGGCTTCCTTTTCAGAGGCACTAAAGATATTTGCGTTTATTACTAAACATGTTTTGTGCCACAATGAAAAATTTACTAAGAAAGAATATACTTCCAGAAATCGTGAAATGGATTTATAAATTTGCCAACTCACAGAATGCTAGTATAACAGACACTCCACAATTGCTTACACCTTAGTTTCACTAGGAAAAAACAGTTCTAAGTATTAAGAATTCTAATCAATATATACAATTAAAACTACTTAGAAAACTTCATGGAATTGAACCTTGGGTCCACATCCCTCAGTTAAAAAGGGCTTCTCCAAACTCTTGGAACTGCATACCAGCTGGAGACCTAAAATTAAAATTGACTAAGGAGGTTCTTACCCAGAGGCAGATGGCGTCTTGTGGTAGACAGCTGTCTCCCAAGATTGCAGATCAAGGTCTTTAACACCAATATGAAATGTTTATTCCTTTTGCCTTTTCACTACCTGCTTTTTTTCTCTGTTAATGCCTAGGAAGATAATGCTCCTTAACTCTGGCAACTGTTGATGAATCTACTGCTAAGGCCGCAGCTGAACAACCAAAGTCCCAAGATTTTCTTGCCAAGGTAAATTTAGATAATAGAATTGCTTTAGATTAGTTATTGGCGGAACATGTGCCATAGCAAATGTCTCCTGCTGCACCCTGATCCATATCTCTACTATTGTAGCAAATACAGAAAATTAACAAACAAGCCACTTGGTTAAACAGGTACATCCTTTGATTTATTTGATACTAGCTAGTTTGGTTCACTGGGGCCCTGGCCAAGGAGTACACTTCAGTCTCTTGATATTATCCTCCTAATAGTTATCACTGTAGTCTCTGTGGTGTGCTATATTCTCTCAACGGTCTTAAATGCACGTTCACAGCCATCAGCAGTACATTAGCTGGTCTTACTGTGCTTGGAGAAACAGGAACAAGATGAACAACGAGATGAACAGCAAAACAATTCTTCCATGGACATGACATCATAACCTACTATGAGTTTCACAATGAGACAAGAGAAACTTAACTCTGATGGTGACAAAGAGTGGCATTAATACTAATTTTTGGTCAACTTTTCACATATGAGAGGATGACCAAAAGGGGGAAATTGTTAAGTTGTTTTAAAAGGAGACCATTAGACTGAGGTGGCCCTAATGCCACGGCAGCTTACATAAGCAAACCAAAATCTATGCCTATAAACACCTCAAGGTTACAAATCAAAATGCTAAGGATAACCAATCACAAACAGCTAACTAGGCTTTACGCTACAGACAATAAATAATTGCTTTTCTTTGCTTCTGCCTTTTCTCTATAAAAGTCTCTCCCTGAGCTACTCTTGGTGGAGTGCTCCTAACCACTTGTAGCTTGGCACTGCCTGATTGGAATCAATTTTTGTTCAAATAAACTCTTAAAGTCTCCTAGATAAAAATGCAAAATGCAGAAGTCTTTATGGTATGTCCTATTTGTGTGAAAAAGGAAACGTAATATATACATACATAGGTGTATATATATATATATATATATATATGCATAGTTTACCCTAGAGGATTCCTGGGAAATTTAAAAATTGTCACCTCTGAGAAAGAGGACTGGGAGTCATGGGAAAGAGGGTGATACTTTTAAACTTCATACACTCTTATATTATTTGAATTTTAACCATGTGCATTTTCAATTAAAATAACTATAAAATAAAGGAATATGCACAAAAACTGGAAAACGATGAAGAATCCAGATTCTACCTCTACCATTTGTTAGCTATGTGGCTTTGGACACGTCACTTAAATTTCACAAATTTACTTTGATATTGTGATTTGAACACAGACTATTACTCACATAAGATTTAATAAAATTAATGATGGTTGTTCATGGTCAATCTGGGAAATCACAACGCACAAAAAGAATTTTATCTTTTGTGAAATATAGTGAAAATGTACGTTCTGGGGGAAATCATTCTCTATAATTTGGTAACATCTTGGGAGAGACATGCTGCCCTTGTGCAAACTATACAGTGACATGAAAAGGGTGCACACAGAACCTAGGCCTGTTTCTGTTTAGTGCACAGCTCTGTCTAGAGGTCCAGCCATTGCTAGCAATCTGACCTAAGGGTGAAAATGGAATGAATGTGCCTTTCTCTTGTTTAGACGCTGGGATGAGTGGCAGCAGGACCAGAGTCCCAGGTGGTCTTTCTTTACCTGCTGCCCCTGCCATGTGCTCATCCATGCTGAGCAGGAGCTCCCAGGCAGCTGGCTGGATGTCTCCATACATCTCCTCCGTCAGAATTGGTGCTGCCTTGATTAGCAGAGATAAGGGAGCAGGCGACAGGCTCATCACCTGGAAAAAGATGGAAATGATGTCGTAAAATCTTTGAAGACACTGATTGCTGTACTCCTCTAGAGTGTTAAGTGTCACTTCCCCTCTCTCTGCTTTCCTTAAATGACCTTAAAATACATTCTAAAGTGGGAGCGTATTTATTGGCATGATGTATAATAAGCTTTATACCTTATTAGTTGATGTATAATTACCCCCAAATTGTATTAATTTTATAATACTTTCACCACAAAAATTAATTTGCAACCACCTAGGGAATAAACTGTAGAATAAGTATAGCTCTGTGAGAAAGAAGGACTCCAGCCAATATATCTTTGTGTTTAAAGTCCTGGTAGACTTTCATAGCATCTTATCTTCCTTCCTGTTAGAAGCTGATTTCCACTGGAAACAGTGATCAGCCTCTAATTTATAAAGGAGTCCCATTCAGAAAGTTAGTTTTCTAAGCCAGTGAACTTGGATGGCATTTTCCCTTCAAAACATTATACATTGTGGTTATTGCTCCAGGTTAGCCAACAAAACCCCATTTAATCCATTATTTCAAATAATTTTGGTGATAAATGTAGGTTTGGGGCAAGTCTAGGTCTTTAACCATCATTTAAAACACTTTCTACAAAAACATGAAACTTTTTTTTTCTCTTCCCCTGGGAAATGTATTATGATTTAGAGTTTAGGTTGTAATAACAATATAACTGTGCCAACCACTGGATAAGCAGCTAAATATACTATCTTTTTTAATCCATGCAATAATTCTTTGAGATGGGTCTAGTGTTAAAATCCCCATTTTAGAGTTTAGGCAACTAAAACTGAGAAAAATTAAGTTAACTTGCCCAAGGTCCCAGAGCCAGAGCAGCAGGTATAGGATTTGAAATCCGACTGTCTCATTCCAAGATCTATGAGCGTCGCTACCACACATTGGTGGGAAGCTGGCTCCATTAAGGTGGAGAGAGTGGGAAGAGGTATGGTTCTAGCCAAGCCCCCCAAGCCTTGTCTCTATGGAAGTTGGCTGTCCAGCAAGAAGGGATTTTTCCTTGCATACTTGGTAGCATTCTTGCTCACCAAATTAGAGGGGCCTTTATGCCAACACTGTGCCAGTTGGCATTGTATGTCCCAAACATTAGTAAACAAGATATCTGGAGTTCCCTCCTTATTACTGTTCCATGAACATTTCTGATCTATGCATCAATACCTGTAGTCTGATGTATTTCAGCATTCCAGAGTCCTTTTTCCCCTCTAGGTTGGCATCTGAAACTCTCTTTTTCAGCGAAGGTGTCCTCAGGCATGATTTATCTGAGCACTGGAAAGAACATAAGATAGGTGACGAAGAGTGTTGTGTTCTCTCAAAACCCAACAGTGCTGTTTTCCTCCAAATTCTCCAAACAACCAACTGGTTCTAATGCAACAGATGATTTCAGTAAGGACTTTTTATGGGCCTGCACTTTCTGAAAGTGATAAAAGCAGTTAATTTTGTAATGAAAAGGTAGCTTAGGGGTATTTAGCAACAAACTCCTCTTTTACCACTGAGGAGACCAGGACCCAGAGAGGTGGAGTAGCTTGACCAAATTGCAAAACTGGTTATTAGTAGAATAAGGAAAGGACAGGATCTCCTGATTTCCATTTCAGGGCTAATTATATTCCACCAAGCTGTTAAAAACACAAATCTTTTTAAATATTGCCAGTTAAAAGCCACTCTCTCTAATAATCCCTTTAAAGGGTTGGATGTTACAAGTTGATTATTTGGAAGAGAAAATGTTTCACAGAGGAGTGTTAGGAAGTGAAAGATAAAAGACTCATCAACGAAGTATGAGTTCATAGCATCCATCATCCAGGTAAAGTGTTTGTTTGTTTGTTTGTTTAAAAACCCATACTTGTCTATTGGAGGCAGCAGCTCTTCTTTAAAATTGTCCCCTCAACCAGGGTCCAGAATAAGCCTGACATCTGCATACACACGGAGGAGACATTTTCTTCCCCTGACTCTCTAAGTGCCAAGGAATGGAGTGGACAGAGCAGCTGGGAGAATGATTGCTCCAGTGGTGGCAGGCCCTTGTTTATTTATCCTGAGTCCTGATGCCTCCATTTTTGCACTCCAGGCTGTGCAAACAGGGAATCCATCCCTTTGCACAGTATAAATGCTCATTTGTTTTTCCAGTGACATGTCAATGAAACACTCTCTCCCTCAGTGCCAAGGGAAAACAACTGAACTCCTTAAGAATTTCTGAACAGAGCTTCACAGTGTCATAGATGGAGATATTTTGAAAGAAAAAGCAAATCTACAAAGTACATGCATGTTCCAAGAAAGTCTTTCAAAACTGACAAAAAGACCCAAGACAATGCATCTGTTATGTGACCAGTATGGAATAAACTCTTAAACGAATTTACTTGGAAACAAATGAATCAGAGCTCTTGCTGTGTTTTCTAAAGATTTAAAAAAAAAAAAAGTGGAGTCACATACTTGGGAACACATATCATTTGGAGAGAGAAATCCTGCTTGGGAATAAATATCATCTGGGGAGAGAAATCCTGCAATGCTTTATTTCCCCCCTGTGAATGTAAAAGCAAAATATAGCATAAATATCATGCTTATTTTATATAATTTGAAAACTTCTAAAATCATATATGGCAATCATTTTCCATATAAATATAGGGGTGTATCTGACTTTGTAAAAAATCAAGGTATTTAAAAAGTGGCATCTTTCTGCTTTTATTCTATTTATAAAAAAATGTAAATTGCAGAAACCTGGAAAATACAAAAAAAACTATGAAGAAGAAAATAAAAATCCTTATAATCCTCAACTCAGTGATGGCCATTATTTGGCTCCTTTCAGCCCTTTGACCCCCTAGGCATCTTAGCAAAGCTGTGACGATGCTATATATGTGGTACACAGTTTTAAACATTTCATTTCACTGTGATTTTATGATGAATATTCCCCAGGTTGTTAGAGTTATTTTAAAATTGATTTTTAAATTTTGAAAATATTTTATTGCTTTCTCCTTTGGCTGGACACTTTATCTTTTCAGGGTTACCTTTGAACAATACTTTTGATTAATTTATAGGAATTTTAAGCAAGCAGATACAGAAAAATACTCAGAGGAAAAAGGACAAACATTTATGTCTGTTTCTCACGCTCTGTGAAATGTAGGCTTCTGTTTAATCCTATCTGCTGGGGACAGAAGGTATAAGTCAAGCTTCTCAAATATCAAATATTTAATATCCTGGCATGCTTCCTTAAGAAGCCTGGTGTGTTCTGCTGGCTTCAAGATATTAGGATGTTTGTTTTAGTGGAAAGGGAAGGGAATTGGAAAGGCTTTTACACTAGGGTGATGGGCTAGGAACTCTTCTTGAGTGACTTGTTCAGGCCTGAAAACAGGTATTAAAGATGGGTACACGTGTTATGGGCACTTGGGTACCCTATGTGAGGTCCCTAAAGTCCTCTACTGGTGTGACCCTGACTCAGACTAACAACATTATCATCACTTGCTTTTTGCTTTGGTAACGTGGTGTAAAACTTGGCTAGAAGAGAGTAAGAAAATGGATGGAGTAGGAGGCTGGTTCTGAAGGCATTTATAACCATATTATATAATTATAACCATTAGTGGTTCCTGAAGAGTTAGAAATTTCACTGGACTGTGAGATGTAGGTGGTGGTTGGAAACACACATCAATCAGGGACTGCAAAGAAAACCAAAACTAGTAACCCAAGACTGAAGGACAGAATTTATCACTAATAGAGGATGTCATTCATTTTGAGTCGATCTACCAGAGGAAGCTATGGTCAGTGGGAGGACATTATACAGTCCCAAGAGCTGGCAGGGATACTGGGACATGCTTGCTATGGGATGGTGTAGAACTTCAGATAAAATCTGTAGTGCAAAACCTATCCTTTAACTGTCCAGGGAATTATCACTTGTGGTGTTTGGATCAGAAAGAGGAGGGTTGGTCCCATCAAATTCCTGTCCTAGGGAATTAGGGGACCGAGTCTGATTCATTTAGTGATGGTTACTGGGGCTGAGAAATGATGATGCAACCTTGAGACTTCAGTCTAAGTACAAGATGAATAAAGCAGGGGTTGCTGGTCAGGGGACAGAGATGAGTCAGCAGACAGAGATGATGCAGAAAGAAGCAGAGATGAGACACTGTCCACCCTCAGATGGACAGCTGCTTTGGATCTCATTCCTTTGAGGCTTGACTGTGTTTCCCACCTGTCCTTGGTTTCATGAGATTCTGCTATATCCTTTGAAGAAACTCTAATTATTTGAACAAATTTCAATGGGTTTCTATTACTCACAACAAAATATTATTGACAACGGAGGCGTAATACGTAATTAGTTTAAGTAAAATTTTTACTTATTCATTTAATAATTCAAGTATGTTTATTAAGAAATAACCATTTGCCAGGAACAGGGCTAACTTCTGAGGATATGCTGAGGAGCAAAACCCCCATGATACACCCTTCTGGAGAGTGTATCTTACCAGGAGAGACAGCTAGCAAACAAATGAAAATTCAAGATAAGTAGAAAAGGAGAATACATGTCATAAATGATGATAACACTGTGGAAATAATGAGGTATTTAACATTTGGGAAAATTGGAGTCAGCCTACTGGGTTCTTTGGGAAAGGGATTGCCTCATGTTTCTGGAAAGAAACATGCCAATAGAAGTATAGTATTTCCCCAGAGGTAACCCAGACCCTTTGTGTCTCATACATCTTTGACATAGGAGTTATGTATATCATAGTGAAGAGTAATTCTGACCCATGAAATCAAGACCTAGGGCTTGGTCTTGGCCTCACAGCTGTGTTTTCCATAGCTTTAGAAAAATATTAGTCCTGCAGGAGATCAGGTGGCCTCTTGCCATTTACACTGGCTTCACAAAATTTATGGACACTATGCCCTTTCTTTTTTTGGGTACATATAACCTCTTAGTTACCTCCCCTTTTTGGCTGAAAGGAAAAAATGTTTTATCCACCCATTTCCATCAGCAAGCACTAATTGCACATTACTATGTTTAGAACATAGCATTAGACAAGGTACAGATATACAGGAAAATTCAAAGAATTCTTTGGTGAATTCACCTTTTGGTGAAGGTGATATATATAATGATAGCTTATCTAAACCTCTCAAATTTGGAAGTGCACTAAAACAGTCTAACAGAATGTACAGGGAGTCTCTGAGCACTGAGATGTAGATTAGCAGATTGATCAGAGTTAGAAGGGTTACAAAATGTACTAGCTGCCACAAATATATTCTGCCATAAAAACCAATTAAAAAGGAAACACGAATGAAATACCAATTGCTCATAAGTCTCGATTTTAATCAGAATCACTGCTTTTATTCTTGATTTATTGCCTACTCTGTTTTCATTTGGGCTCTGAAAATGTGGGCATTGTTCATTTATGTGACAGATTCAGAACAGGCAAATGGAAACATCATGAGAGAATAAAAAAGAAGCTTGAACAGGAGGCTGGCATTTTGGAAATAAAATGTTGATCACAGAAGACTCAATACATCTTTTCAGCTCTCCACCTGCATGACTAATTTAAGTGTGTTAGGGTTAGGGAACACTTATACTCTTGCTTTACTTTCCCTTTCAAAAATGTAAGCAACATGTAAGGTTGGTAACCTTTTCTGCTGCTTCAGGCCAGTGTCCTGGATGGGCCAGAGGTGAAAGGCACTCATGAAACATCATAGAACTCTATAGCCCACTCACTCACTCAATATTATAGTCTCTCTGCCATAGTGAGGTAGTCTGTTAGGTATCACACAGGATGCAAAATGTGTAAGACTGCCTCAGTTCTCAAGAAGCTTTATAATTAAGTGAGAAGAGAAATAGGGATGTAAGTAGCCCCACTTTGCAGGCAGAGCAATCTTAAAAACCTTTTGGTGCTTGTCACTATTCACAGGATAAAGACTAAAATCCTTCCCAAGGCCTCAGAGGCTCAACCTGGTCTGCTCTCTACCTGCTTGTGCAGCCTCATCAGGCACCACGGTCCTCCATGCTCCAGCCATCATCCTTGGTTCAAAGTCTTATTCATAAGATCTCTTAGCACAGAGTGCTTCTCCTTCATTGTGCTTATCGTTGTTGCAATTTTACATCAACTTGGGATGTTTGTTTGATTAATTTCTGTCTCTAGACTAGACTGTGTGCATCTTACAAGGGTAGGGCCATATCTCTTTGGCCATTACTATACCCAACACAGTATGGACTCAGCATGGTCCAGAATCTCTTTAAAATTTGCTGAATAGACCCATGGATGGATGGATCAATGAATGAATGAATAATTGAATGAAGGATGTGAAAAGCACAAGTAAACCATCATTGTAGTTTAGAGGAAGAAGGAATAGACAACGTCATTAATCATCCACCTGCAGTATGCCCAGTGGTAAATGCTAGGGAGATCAGAAAAGAAGGAGGCGGCACTTGAGCTGGATCTTGAAGGATGTTTGGGTTCAGCCACATGTAGATTACAGGTGAAGATACAGCTGGAGCAAAGGTATGGAAGTAAGAAATCTCAGCGTGTGTATGGTGAACAATGAACATTAGGTTGGCGTATTTTTACAATTTTCAACATATATGGTTTTCTTCTAAAGCTAAGGGAGTTTTTATATGAAGGAGAACTTACCTAAATAAAATTAGGTTTTCTTTGTATGAAGTGTCATTTATGTTTGAGATACATGTGTGTACATACATGTATCTCAAAAATAAATGCATGTCTATGTACATGAATACAAACATATATACACATATATATATCAAACATATATGTATCTCAAACATAAATGTATGCATGTATCTCAAACATAAATGCATGTCTATGTACATGCATACACATACAAACATATATACACATACATATTTTTCTGTTTATGTCATCATTTAGCAGTTCATGTAGTTTCCCCACCTGATTTCCCCTCAGAATTTGTATAGTTTGAATACCGGTAGATGCAATAGAGTCTAGTTGAAAAAGCCCTGACTTTGAAATTCCATGTTTATAAATTAAAGTCTAGCTGTTCTAGATGTGAAATGTGGACAATCCCATCTTTCTGAACCTCAACATTTTCATCTGTAAAATGTGATGAAGAGTGTCTCCTGCACAAGATTTGCAAGAATCAAAAAGTACTTTGTCAGTGATGTATACCTACCTTATACGCTCATACATATGCTTTGAAGAAAATACTAAAAGGTCATTTTCCAGAAGGCAAATTAGCACACTTATGATACGCATGAGATACATATTTTTTTTCTTTAGGATCTCTTTAGGAGCTCTTGTATTAGCCAAAATTTCTTCCATATACCCATATTGCTTTCAAAATTTTAAAAATCATAATTAAATAAATCCCTTTTGTGAGTGCTAAAGCATTACAGTGCATTTTTTGTTATTGTTTATATTCTCTAGTTTGATTTGTATTTTATTGCCATCCTCCCACCCCACCAAACCTGGTTCACAAACTCTTTAGTATCAACAGAAATAACCTCTACTCCTGCTTAATTATTTTTTATTTCTCCAAGAATATCTGGCCTCATATTGTGCCAACAGCAGGTGCACAATGAATGCTCATCGAAATGAATAGGGATTATATAAAGATCTCTTGGCAGATCCACTTGTGAGAAGCAGCTGCAGGGGCGGCCAGCAGCATGCAGTAGAGCATCTTGGCCATCACGCCTGTTCAGGGGCAGATGGGTAACTCAGGGCTTCCCTGGCAGAAGCACGGCAGCCCTGGTTACCGTCTTCATCTTCTGCCAGTTCAGCTGTTCAGTTTTCAGGAAAGTGCAGCTGAATGCTTAGAAAATGTAATAGTTTCTTGAAGAAGTTTCCTTTAGTCTGATTTGACTCTATTATTTATCAGTGAACAGTTGGGCCATTTATTGCTTATTTCTTAAGCTATAACTGTATCAGTCTCCTATTACTGCTGTAACAAATCACTAAAACCTTCCTGGCAAAAATATAACACAAATTTATTATCTTAACAGTTCTCTAGGTCAGAAGTCTCAAATGAATTGGCAGGGCTGTGTTCCTTCTGGAGGCTCTAGGGAATCATCCATTTCCTTGCCCTTTCCAGCTTCCAGAGGCTGCCTGGACTCACTACCCTGCATCATTCTGACCTCTGCTTCTGTCATCACATCTCCATCTCTACCTCTGACTACGTTCAGCCCACTTGGCTAATCCAGGATAATCTCCCCATTATAAGATACTTAATTTACTCACATAGGCAAAATCCCTTTTGCCAGGTGAGGTAGCATATTCACAGGTTCCAGGGATTAGAAATCGGATACCTTTGGGGGGACATTATTCTTCCTACCACAGCAACCTACTTATCACCAGTGCCCCTTTGAGTTCATATTTATTTGTAGAAATAAGCCTGGGAAAAGAGTTGAGCCCATGTTTGCTCATGGACATGAAGACAAAGCACTTGTCTTTTATTTATTTATTTATTTTTTGGCACTTGTCTTTTTTGTACCCATCTTCTAATTTTGCTCGAAATCACACAGATCTGTAGCCTGGTTTATGCAACTGCAGTAGGCTGAAGTTTGCATTTCCAGAGAAAAGATTGTTAGGACATCACTTTCCCTATCATTGGTATATTATCATGTGATCATTCGCTCACCTCTTTCTGCTTCTTGCCCCGGAGAGCCACATTGCTGACGCTGCTGCTCTCTCGGAGGGAGTCCACGGAGTCTCCGTAGAGCAGCTTAATGGCCCTGACGAGCCGGGCACAGGAGCGGCTGTGGTGCAGGTAGCAGTGAGGGTGGCAGTAGTCAACGTGGGTGCAGATGAAGCTTTGCTGATTGCACAGCAAGATCATGACCTGGAACACAGACATCACTGAAGCTCAACCAGGCAACCAGGGTACAGACCAACTGTGAACGACGATGTGGGGTGGAAGATGAAAAGTGAGAATGTCAACTTTCTTTAATGGGTCTTAAAATCACAATAATTCCACAGAGAATAATAATTCCCACAAGAGAACAAAGGGTTACAAGCCTTTATGTACATGGCTTCTTTTGCTCCCTGGATTCACACTTGATAGAAAGTTCTTTTTGAAATTATACAAGGTTAAGTGCTCTTCAAAAGTTGAAACAATTATCGGGGAGCGTCTGATTCCCAAATATTTTCAAATGAAGATTCTGAAATTAAAATGTATTATTTTTTCAGCTCTTATGTTGTAGAAGGAGCCAGGAGAAGAGCAGAAACTAATGAGAAGCTCCATCCCAAAGGATTTGGCTGGCCTTTGACAGCTGTGGGATGTCTTTAACTCCAGCCCACCTACATGGAACATGAAAACATTTCTGCATCTTCCACCCTAGCCTCTAACCTTCAACTGGGCCTTGAAACCCAGTGTAGCACTTCATTTCCCTCTCTACAAACTAATTTGTTTTCAGCTTTTGGGCTATTCTAGCTCTTCACTTGTGGCTTGATCTGGCTCAAATCTTCATATCTTCTAGACTTCTCAAGTAGTAGTACAGAAAAGAACTCAGTTGATTTAAATGATATGGTTATTTTAAGAAAAGAAATGAAGGGCCTTGAGATGATAACTTCTTAAGTTGCCTTCCTAAAAGGGCAGTAGCATTCCTAGAGCTGCAAGTTTAGTCAAATCTGCACAGAGTAATCTTCTGAATGATTCTATCCTTCATGAAACTAGTTCCCACCCCAACACCTAAACTGTGCGAGACCATGTGCCACATTGAATGGAGAACATAAAGTAAGTCTACACAGATAAGACCAATCGAACCTCTAGAAAGGGCTGCCATGCATTTCCTTAGGAATGAGAGGTCCTGCTTAATCTGAGACAAATGTAAATAACAGTAACAATGCACCCCTCTCAAACTCAGCTAACAATACCTCATACTCTTCAAAGTTTAAAAAAAAAATAGGTGTTGTCTGAACAGAATATTCAGATCTCTCTCAAGATTCATTGAAGATCCCTGATATTCCTGTTTATACTAATATGAGTCAGGGCACAAAGAAGAACTGTAAACCTTCCCTTGTTATTCTTGAATCTGGCCAAAAAATGGTTCTTTGACTAATAAAACTGATAAACTTCTAGCAAGACTGATCAAAAAAAGAGAAAGAAAAGATAAAACCTACCAATATCAGAAATGATACAGGCACATTACTGTAGATCTCATGAAATTTAAGATGATCTTAAGAAAATATTATACAGCGTCTCCTCACAACTAGGGCATCTGCCACCCACTGGTGGGGGACCCTGATGCCCAAGGAGACAGGAGGAACCCCCAAGTGAACTGGTAGGATGTGGGGGGACGGGGGAGGAGGAGAAGTGGAGGCCAGACAGGATAGGTGTCCCTGAGGCCAGGGAGATCAGGAGAGGCAGAAGGGAGGGTCCCTCCAGGAGGAGGGAAGAGGAGAGGAAGGTGACTGCTCCACCCACTTGGGCCTGGGGAAACTGCTGAGCTCCCAGGCCAGTCCTCTGCCCTTCAAGGCCCCCTCCAGGCCACGTGGGTGCTTGGGGGCATAGGAGGGAGGCTGGGGAGATCAGGAGAGGTAGGTGGGAGGGGCCCTCCAGGAGGAGAAGGAGAGGAGTGGAGGGCGTTCACCCCAGGCACTCGAGCCCAGAAAGCCTGCTGGGCTCCCAGGTGAGGTCCCCTACCCTCTGAGACCGGGGTGGGGGCATGCCCAGCCCCTTCTCTTCCTTGAGCCTAAGCACCACCCCCCACAGCTCCCAGGGCCTTTTCCAGCCCTGTGGGTCCTAAGCATAGCCCCTGCCCCTGACCCAAACCTCACCTTTACTTAGGCCCCACCCTCCACAGCCAAGGCCTTTTCCCCTTTTTTTCTTTTCTTTTTTGTTTTTCTCTTTTCCCTCCTCTTTCTTACTCTTGTGGTACTGTTGTACCTTCTGGTTGTTGATTCATCTATATTTTTATTTTTATATTCTTTCTAACATATCTGTTAGTTTCCTAGTATAATTTTATTTTTTACTTTGTAATTGTTTTTTGTTTGTTTGTTTGTTTGTTTTGCCATCCCACATGGCTTGCGGGATCTTGGTTCAGAAGCTGGGGGTTGGGCCAAAGCTCCTGCTGTGGGAGCTCTGAGTCTGAACCACTGGACTAACAGAGAACCTCATACCCCAGGGAATATTCATCAGAGTGAGGTCTCACGGAGGCCCTCATCTCAGCACCAAGACCCAGCTCTACCCAACAGCCTACAAACTTCAGTGCTGGAAGCCTCAGGCCAAGCAACCAGTAAGACAGGAACACAATCCCACTCACTAAAAAAAAAAAAAAAAAAAAAAAGAGAGAAATGGCAAAAAAATATGTCACAGATGAAGGAACAATGTAAAAACCTGCAAGACCAAGTAAATGAAGAGGAAATAGGTAACCTACCTGAAAAAGAATTCAGAGTAATGATTGTAAAGATGATCCAGAATCTCGGAAAGAGAAGGGAAGCACACATTGAGAAAATACAAGTGTTTAACAAAGATCTAGAAGAACTAAAGAACAAACAAACAGAGATGGACAGCACAATAACTGAAATGAAAAATACACTAGAAGGAATCAATAACAGAATAAGTGAGGCAGAAGAACGGATAAGTGAGCTGGAAGACAAAGGGTGGAAATAACCACCAAGGAGCACAATAAAGAAAAAAGAATGAAAAGAATTGAAGACAACCTCAGAGACCTCTGGGATAACACTAAACACACCAACATTCGAATTACAGGGGTCCCTGAAGAAGAAGAGAAAAAGAAAGCATCTGAGAAAATATGTGAAGAGATTAGAGTTGAAAACTTCCCTATCATGGGAAAGGAAATAGTCACCCAAGTCCAGGAAGCACATGGAGTCCTGTACAGGATAAACCCTAGGAAAAACACACGAAGACACATAGTAATCAAACTAACAAAAACTAAATTGAAACAAAAATATTAAAAGCAGCAAGGGAAAAACAAATATGACATATAAAGGAAACCCCATAAGGCTATCAACTGATTTTTCAGCAGAAACTCCGCAGGCCAGAAGGGAGTGGCAGGATATACTTAAAGTGATGAAAGAAAAATACCTACAACCAAGATTACTCTACCAAGCAAGGATCTCATTCAGATTTTATGAAGAAATCAAAAGCTTTTCAGAAAAGCAAAACCTAAGAGAATTCAGCACCACCAAACCAGCTTTACAACAAATGCTAAAGAAACCTCTCCAGGTGGGAAACACCGGAGATGAAAAAGACCCACAAAAACAAACCCAAAACAATTAAGAAAATGGTAATAGGAACATACATGTTGATAATAACCTTGAATGTAAATGGATTAAAGGCCCCAACCAAAAGACACAGACTGGCTGAATGGATAAAAAAGATCTAGATATATGCTGTCTACAAGAGATTCACTTCAGACCTAGGGACATATACAAACTGAAAATGAAGGGATGGAAAAAGATATTCCATGCAAATGGAAATGAAAAGAAAGCTGGAGGAGCAATACTTGTATCAGATAAAGTAGACTTTAAAATAAAGACTACTGCAAGAGACAAAGAAGGACACTATGTAACGATCAAAGGATTAATCCAAGAAGAAGATATAACAATTATAAATGTTTATGCACCCAGTATACGAGCACCTCAATACATAAGGCAAATGCTAACAACCATGAAAGGAGAAACTGACAGTAACACAAAAATAGTGGGGATTTTAACACGCCACTTACATGAATGGACAGATCATCCAAACAGAAAATAAATAAGGAAATACAATCTTTAAATGACACAATAGATCAGATAGATTTAATTGATATTTACAGAACATTCCACCCAAAAGAGGCAGAATACAATTTCTGCTCAAGTGCACATGGAATATTCTCCCAGATAGATCACATCTTGGGTCACAAATCAAGCCTTGGAAAATTTAAGAAAATTGAAATCATGTCAAGCATCTTTTTGGACCACAACGCTATGATATTGGAAATCAATTACAGGAAAAAAAAACTGTACAAAACACAAATACAGGAGGCTAAACAGTGAACTACTAAATAACCAAGAGATCAGTGAAGAAATCAAAGAAGAAATTAAAAAACACATAGAAACAAATGACAATGAAAACACGATGATCCAAAATCTATGGGATGAAGCAAAGGCTGTTCTAATAGGGAAGTTTATAGCAATTCAGTCTCACCTCAAGAAACAAGAAAAATCTCAAATAAAAAATTTAATCCTACACTTAAAAAAACTAGAGAAAGAAGAACAAAAAAACCCAAAGTCAGTAGAAGGAAAGAAAGCATAAATACCAGAGCAGAAATAAGTGAAACAGAAACAAAGAAAACAATAGCAAAGGTCAATAAAACTAAAAGCTGGTTCTTTGAGAAGATAAACAAAATTGATAAACTCTTAGCCAGACTCAACAAGAAAAAAAGGGAGAGGATGCAAATCAATAAAATTAGAAATGAAAAAGGAGAAATCACAACTGACACCACAGAAATACAAAGGATTATAAGAGACTACTACAAATAACTATGTGAAAATAAAATGGAAAAACACAAAGAAATGGACAAATTCTTGGAAAGGTACAATTTTCCCAGACTGAACCAGGAAGAATTAGAAAATATAAACACACCTATCACAGTAATGAAATTGAAACTGCAATTAAAAATCTTCCAACAAACAAAAGTCCAGGACCAGATGGCTTCACAGGCGAATTCTATCAAACATTAACAGAAGAACTAACACCTATCCTTCTCAAACTCTTCCAAAAAATTGCAGAGGGAGAAACACTCCCAAATTCATTCTACAAAGGCACCATCACGCTGATACAAAAACCAGAAAAAGATATAACAGAAAAAGGAAATTATAGACCAATATCAC